CTGGGACTTCCTATTGGGGGAGGCCGTATTGTTGGAGAAACAGGGTACATACATACATACATACATACATACATACATACATACATACATACATAAGTACATACATACATAAGTACATACATACATACATTCATACATACATACATTCATACATACATACATACATACATACATAAGTACATACATACATACATACATAAGTACATGCATACATACATACATAAGTACATACATACATAAGTACATACATACATAAGTACATACATACATACATGTGTGTGTGTGTATATATATATGTATGTATATGTGTGTGTGTGTATATGTGTGTGTGTATATGTGTGTGTGTATATATGTATGTTTGTATGTATATGTATATATATAGTGTGTGTGTTAAATCTCTATTACCAGCTTCTTCCCCACTCTCTTTTCTTCCGAAGTTTCTGTTTTCTTTTCTTCTAACTTTCTTACCTGATTGGTTTCTCTTCTTGCTTCTCTTTAAGTATTCACTTTCATTTCTCCTCTCATGTTTGTTTCATTTTCCCCTCCTTCTTTCAGTTTGTTAACTGAAACTGTGTTGCTTTCTCCCTCTTCCCTGCTAGCAGCTTCCTGGGCTTCAGACCCTTTAAATAGACATTCAGACTGGTATCTCCTTCATTGCCTGAGGTCTCTTTCTGGATTCTTCAGCCACCAGTGTGCTGAAAAGCTTCAGGCTTTCCTCTGGAGGTCTGAAATCCTTCTGTCTCCCATCATCTGGAGGTCCTGAGGTGACTTCTCTTCCAATAAATTTCACTTTGTCCACTTCTTCTCTGAAGCATACTAGCACCATGCCAACCTCCAAAGGTTCTAAGAAACAGGTCTCACCTTCTAGAAAGGTAAGGAGTCTAAGGCTTTGGGGTGCACAACAAGCTGCCATGAGACATAGTCTTGAGAGAACCTGTTATATAAGGTTGCAGTGATGTCTCCAGTGGCTGAAGAAAATGGGGTAGTGGGAAAGGTTATTTGTCTTTTTTTGCCATTCTTGTCTTTTTTTGCCATTTGGATATTTTCAGAATAAAAGTTGGAAGGGACTTTGGAGGTCTTCTAGTCCAACCCCCTGCTCAAGCAGCAGATCCTATACCAGGGGTCTTCAAACTTGACAGCTTTAAGACTTGTGGACTTCAACTCCCAGAATTCCTCCTCCAATCTTATTAGTTCAGGAATACTGGGAGTTGAAGTCCACAAGTCTTAAACTTGAAGACCCTTGTCCTATACCGTCTTTGACAAATGGTTGTCCAGTCTCTTTTTGAAACTCCCCAGCGATGGAGCACCCACAGCTTCTGAAGGCCAGCAGCTCCACTGGTTGATTGTCCTCACTGTGAGGAAATTTCTCCTTCGTTCTAGATTGCTTCTCTCTTTGTTTCCATCCATTGCTTCTTGTCTTGCCTTCTTGGTGGTTTGGAAAAGAGGTTGACTCTCCTTTTCTTTGTTTTACTTCTCAAGATATTTATTTCTCAAGATATTCTTTCAAGATGTTTTTCAGAGATCTGGGCTGGGAATTTCCAGGCATTGCAAATAATGTGTATATTTAAATCATTCCCAAATAAGTTTTTTTTTCCCCAAGATGTTTACCTGATTTATGGGTTTCATGGAAACAGAAATGTCAGCAAATGAATAAGATGGTTTTCAAGATGATAGACAGATTCATGATAGTGATAGATGGATATCAAAACAGTCACAATAAACATAATTTCAATGTTCAGAGATTACATACTATAGGGATATGTATTGGGATAAGAATTTGGTGAGGACATCTTTGTATGTCCCTCTTTTGGTATAAGCTAATTTTAGGGAAACTGACTTTTCCTCAGGTAGCTTTTACTCCAAGGAGATTGCTAAAATAGTCATAATAAAATCTGAATTTGAATTAGTTTGATCCGGCACTAATGCTACTGTCTGAAGCTACTGTGTAATTTCTATCATGAACACTTAATTCTGGACAGCCTCAAGAAAGCTGCAGGTATGAGGAGGTACAGCTCAGAGTTGTTCAATAATTGAAATCATGATGAACAAATAAACAGATTAAGAATGTAATGCAAATAAAATAACCCAGAGAACACAATATTTATTAAGCACTAACAAAAAATGTAAACAATAGAAAGTTAATAAAACTTTATTTAAAAGAAAGAAAGGGAATTGTGTAAATGGATCACAAGGAGATCTTGATCCGTTTGTGCCATGTTACCAACAATTTTGGGAATAAGATCTCCAGTGAGTGTGTTGGAGGGTGTGCCTGGTGGGGGGAATATGGGCATTGTCATTTTGGAAAGGATTTGTTTCTCAAACAAATGTCCGTGTAAATTAGGATGCATCCGTGTCACAGAATCAAGTAAATAAAGAGATGTCCAAGAGAACAATTGATCTGAGGCGGTAAATCCAGCTATCTCTCTGCTGTTGGGATCTTGGAAAAGAGAGTCAGCATTATGAGCATATTTGATCCAGAATTTTTGTTAAAGGAAAAGTCTGACATTGATGGTGGATGCAAAGGAATGGCAGGAACTACTGCCAAAGTCTACCAAGGGTTTTAACTTTTGCATTTGGCACAAATATTCTGTGGCTGAAAAGTGGAGAAGCCAAACATATTTTTCCCCTGTGGGTGAAAGTACCAAGGAAGCCAAGGAATAGGGGAAGAAAGATGGCTAATTGCAGGAAGGCAAACTTCACTGCATTTTCCGGCAATTGGGAAAAATGGAAGCGGCTATCTTTTGAAATGCACCATAGAGTTGGAATCCCCTTCAAAGAAATTCCATCATTAACAATCACTGAAGGCCAGTTTTGACTTTGAAACTGATCAATCAAAGGAATGTATTTTTCAGTGTATTTTGTTCAAATGTGGCCTCTGCCAGCCACAGAATATCTTTAAACATCTTTCTTTTTCCATTTCCTTCCTTCCTTTCCTTTCCTTCCCTTTCTTTTTCTGTCTTTCCTTTCTTTTTTCCATCTCTCTCTCTTTCTTGCATCTTTGTCTTCTTTCTTTTTCTTTCATTTCTTTCTTTCTCTTTCTTTCTTTCTTTCTTTCCTTCCTTCCTTCCTTCCTTCCTTCCTTCCTATAAAATATAAAATCCAGTTCACCACTTGAGGACAGCAGAGAGATGCAAAAAGTTACCTCTAAACCAGGCGGTGTCCAAGCTTGGCAAATTTAAGCCTTGTGGACTTCAACTCCCAGAATTCCTCAGTCAGCCAACTGGAAAATTCTGGGAGTTGAAGTCCACAAATTTAAGATTGCCAATCTTTGTTTTTCAGCTCTTCTCTATGGTCAGTAGGCAAGGTATACTGTAAACTGAATTTATATCTCTATTAATAAATACACTGGAAGGATAATCTATATTTTAAAGAAGGAAAGAGAGTGAATGCTGCTGTCCTGGAATGCACTTAAGTTCTTTGGATCCTTCCTGAAGCACTTTCCAAAATATATCATGTTATTGCTCCTATATTATTCTGAGTATTCTCAGTCTTTCACACATAGTATCTCGACATGTTGATAGTATAATCCTATTCATGCATTTACTCAAGGGTTACATTAACTGCAAGATGTTTATCTCCCCCCATTTTTACTTCTACTTATTCTTCTATAGAGAAAGGACACCCCTGCTCTAAACTTTTAGCTGACACCCATCAGTCCACTATACTTGTGTCAGTTGAACCTTCCTTAAAACCTTTATTACGCCAACTCAAAAGGCATAGCTGAAAAGAAGAAGAAGAAAAACCACAAAAAAACCACAAGGAGAGATGCATTTCAGATCTCAGGAGAGCTGAAAGATAAACAAACCCAAAGAAGGCAAACAATTCATCAATTTGCAAACTGATTGAATTTGTTCTAATGTAGTCGCTGTTCTCCTTGTTCAGCAAAGAAAATGCATTTGTCTTTCGAGTTCTGGCCTTAAAATAAGTGTCAACTTGTAAAACATTCCTATGCCAGTTTCCAAGTTGCCATAAAAAAGAGGGGAGGGGAAAAAACCTGAAGGAGCATACGGCAAATGAACTCAGAAGCACATTCCAAGCTTATCTCACAAAGATTGTAACTGAGGGTATTCTGGGGCGAAAATCCTTCATTGGAAAGCATGATTGAGGACACCCAGTCCATGAATGTGTTCCGTTGGGCAATCTGAACTATGATACAGAAGGGCGGTGGTGGTGGAAACAGGGTCATAGGTGATTGTAAATTACGTATCACAGAGTCGGCTTCATACAGGTCATGCCAGAAGGTCGCTCCTAATAAATCCTTTGAAGTTTTTTGAAGTTTGGCTAGAGGCTCACAATTTAATTAGGGTGATCGTTGGAATCCTGACACTAAGGTTGTTTCCTCTCTCTCTCTCTCTCTTTCTTCTTTTTAGGCTCGTCCAAAAGGAGAAGGCTTGACTCCATACCAAGGGAAGAAACGCTGCTTTGGAGAATATAAGTGCCCCAAATGCAAGAGAAAATGGATGAGTGGGAACTCGTGGGCCAACATGGGACAAGAATGTATCAAGTGCCATATTAACGTTTATCCTCACAAGCAGGTACGGACAGGGTTCAAAAGAGGGTAGAAGTAGAGGCTTAAGGGAGGATCCCGGGTCAAAGATGCCTCCATGGCTCGTGTTCTGACCTAGGCTGCCAAAATCACGAAGCAGACTTCTCGTCCCAAAAAACCCTCTTTTTATTTGGCTAAGGTGAATTCCTCTCATTCATATCCAGCAAACAGTCTTTCAAGGGTGAGTTACAACCACCAACCTTATCAGGCTTGGAGAAGAGTTAAGAGAGAGCTGCCAAGAGAGAGTTAATATTCATTTTTCTATGCAACTATTCATAGGTTGCCTCCCCAGCAGTTCAAATGAAACAATGTGCAGTAAATCGACTTACGACCACAGGGGAGCCCAGAATTTTTGTTGCTAAGTGGTAAAGTTGTTCAGTGAGTTTTGTCCCATTTTACGGCCTTTCCTGTCTCAGTTATTAAGTGAATCACTACAGTTGTTAAATCAGTAACCCGGTAGTTAAGCGAATCCATCTTTCCCACTGACTTTGTTAATCAGAAGGTCACAAAAGGGGATCACGTGACCCCCAGGGACACTGTGACCGTCGTAAATATGAACCAGTTGCCAAACATCCTAATTTTGATCACCTGACCATGGGGGTGCTGCAACGGTCGTTAAGTGCGAAAAAATGGTCATAAGTCACTTTTTTCAGTGACGTAAGTGTTCTAAGTTACCTGTAATATGATTTGCATCAATATTTGAAATGTAGGGTCATTTAAACCAATACTTGGTGTTTACTTGGTGCATTTGGGAGAAGATGTGAATTTCAAACCTGATTTCCCCCGACCCCATATTTCTGCAAACCCTTTGAAAGAGCTGCTTTGGAGTAGACCAAATTACATCTGAAGGTTCTTTATTGCTCAGTCACTAAAGTTGTGTGTGTGTGTGTGTGTGTGTGTGTGTGTGTGTGATTTCCCTTTTCCTTTGTTGGAACACACAAAGGGGGAAGGAAATCCTTTTTAGTGAAGGATAATCTCTTGCAGATTCTCTAAATAGGGATTGGGGGGGGGGAGAGATTTTTTGGCAGTTCTTTGAGGGCCGAGGGTGTGGAATGCCGAGGAACTCTTTCCTGGTTTCCTAGAGAGCAAATTCCAAGCAAGGAATCACACACACAACTTATATACTGCTTTATAGTACTTTCCAGCCCTCTCTCAGCAGTTTACAGAGTCAGCCTCTTGCCCCCAACTATCTGGGTCCTTATTTTACCCACCTCGGAAGGATGAAAAGCTGAGTCAATTTTTTTTTTGTAAATTTTATTTGAGTTTTCACAAAGAGAAAAAAATATATAAATAAAACATATTTTTTGAAAGTAGCATAATCCCGGGTTACATTTCTTCGTACAGACACAAATTTAGGTTCATGCTCGTTTTTATATTCTATTCCATATCTTATTACTATTTTACATTTTCTACATAGCTTCTCCCCTCTTTTAATTTTCTCAATTTTATTTTAATTACCGTATTTATCGGCGTATAACACGCACTTTTTCCCCCCTGAAAATAGGGGGCAAATGATGTGTGCGTGTTATACGCCGATATAATGTTAAGAAGCCTTCGGTGAATGCTGCTGGGATCGGGGATCAAGGACACAAATGAAAGAAGGGGAGGGAGGAAGCAACCGAAGCCTGTCCTTCTCTCTGGGTCAGCTCTCTCAGTCGCTCTCTCGCTCCTCCACCAGCCCAGGAAGAAACTGCTTCAAAGAAGCGGGGGGGGGCTTTTCCTGTCGCCGAAGCGCCCGTTTCTCCCCCACCCCCACCCCGTCCGCCCGCCCGCCCGCCCGCAGTGCTCCGTTCTGCCTGCCTGCCTGCCTTCATTAATGGTTGAATCGGAACAGCTTCGGCTGAGTAAAAGAGGCGAATAGTTATTATTCTCAGCCGAAGCTGCTCCCAAACAACCAGAAACTAAGGCAGGCAGGCAGGCAGGCAGAATGGGACACTGTGGATTGAAGCGCGCGCGCGGGGTGGGAGTGGGGGTGAAACGGGCGCTTCGGAATAGCTGCGGCGACAGGAAAAGCG